GTATAGTAAGTAGTAGTATATTATTATTACGGTTATGATTATTATTAGTATTACTATGCGTCTTCCTCCTCTCCTCGGCCTCCTCCTCCTCCTCCTCGTCCTCCTCCTCCTCCTTCTCCTCCTGTTCCTGCTCCTAATCCTCCTCCTTTTCCTCCTCCTCCTCCTCGTCCTCCTCCTACTCCTGTTCCTGCTCCTGCTCCTGCTCCTGTTCTTGTTCCTCTTCCTCCTCCTCCTCCCCTCCTCCTCTTCTCCTCCTCCTCCTCCTCCTCCTCCTCCTCCTCCTCCTCCTCCTCCTCCTCCGCCTCCAAATCCAAGTCCAAGGCGCAATCGGGCAGGCGACCGCGGGAGGAAACCCTTCACCTGCTCTCGCTCACTTGGTGAAGTAGAAATATTGAACGGCACCCCTTCTGCGACGAAATTATGTGTTGATGCTGCGGGCAACAAGCTGGTCCAGAAGATCGTTCCACCGCCGCTTGTCTGAAGCCGCCGTGTGCCAGATCTCGCCGGCACGTTCAAATAGCATGTGCAATGTCGTTTCCCATCTCCACGTTCGGAGTTTCCAGCAATGAAGCTGGTTTTATCGGAGTGCAGCCATAGTCGATTGAAACCATTACCAATTATTGTACTTCATCGCCTTGTTACTCAGCCGGTTCGGATCCTTCTTGCCGGCTCTCTGTAAATGTCCGGCCCATGTGAAAACTGCGCGGAACTACGTGGCGCCCCACATCTCGATCCCAGCGCTCGTCAAGGCAACTCTGACCCTCCTGCCAACTCTGTAGAATAATGCGTCGCGAGCCTCGTATGGCCCGCGTTTGAATCTAAGCATTTGTCTGACCCTTGCCTGTTGTGCTCGTCGTAGCTGCGTCTGTTGATCCCGCGTCAGCACCCAACTTCCCGAAAACAAAAACAAACAGCTGTCGACGAGGATCTGTAATAGGTGGAGCCGTCGTGCAAAAGGATCCCTGTGGCAACATAAGATGGACTTGTACTTGTAGAAAACTCCTCAGGCCTTATCGCTGCGCAATGTGAGCTCTACCGACTAGCAAGTGCTGAATGCGATTTGCGTTCCCAGCGCCTTGAAACCCTCGTTCCGGGAGGCTTTGGGTAGTAGTTGTCCTCGCGCGTGGACTTGGACATGTTGCTCATTTGCTGCCGTCGTGCACCAAGTTGTCTCCTGGAGCGGCACGGACCATCCACATTGCTGTAGCAATTCGAACCACTTCTCTGTCATGTCCGAAAGCATGCTAGGCGACGTCGCGAACAACCAGAATGACCACGATGGAAACCACCGCCTCCGCAAGTTCGCATAAAACATCCAGGACGGGCGGAATTCCGCATTTGTGGGGCAGCGTTTCCCGCTTGCGCTCATGGCCCCATGCGGCACTGCGCGCAGCTCAAGCAATTAAGTGCGCCAGTACTTCGAAGCATACCCTGGCAATGCACCCTGAAAGCAGCAAAAGGTGTCAGGAGAGACCTGTGGAACCTGCAGCACATGTGGGACTATCGAGGCCTTCAAGACCAGATGGAGCTGTGAAACCTGTGGGACCTGTGGGACATGCGGGACCTGCGGGACCTGTGGAACCTGCGGGACTCGCGGAACTTACGAAACCCGCGAACCCTCCGGGGCCTGTAGGACCTCTGGGACTTGTCGGACCTCCGGGACAAACGAGCCCTGCTGGAGCTGTGGGACCTGTGGGACCTCGACTTGTGGGACCTGCGGGAACAAAGAGACCTGCGAGACCTGTAGGATTTGTGGGGTCAGTGGGAAATACGGAACCTGTGGGGCCTGCGGGACATGAAAAACCTGTGAGACCTGTGGGGCCTGTGGGGCCTGTGGGGCCTGTGGGACCTGTGGGACCTGTGCGGCCTGTAAGACTTGCGAGACACGTGGGACTTGTGGGACTGGTGGGACCCGTCGGACCTGTGGGACCCGTGGGACCTGTGTCGCCCGTGAGAACCTGTAGGACCTGTGAGACCTGCTGGACCTGTGGGTCCAGAGGGACCTGTGGAACCCGCTGTGCCTGTGGGAAGTGTAAGACCTTGGGGGCGTGCAGGACATGTGCGTTCTGTGGGATCAGGTGGGCCTGTGGAACTTGCGCGGCCTGCGAGACTTCTTGGAACTGTGGGACCTGTCGGGCATGTGGGTCCTGTGAGACATGAGGGGCCTGCAGGATCGACGAGACCTGCGTGACCTGCGGGGCCTGTGGGACCTGTGGGCGGTATGGGAGCGATGGGACATGTGGAACCTGTGGGACCTCTAGGATTCATGGGACATGTGAGAACGATGGGATTTGTTGGACCAATGGGACGTGTGTGGCCTGCGAGACCTTCCAGACTTGCGAGGCCTGCGGCGCCTGCAAGATTTGCTGGACCTGCGGGACCTGTGGGATATGCGGGATACGCGGGACATGCGGGACTTGTGAGAGTTGCGACAATTGTGGGCCTTGGGGGAGTTGTGGGACCCGTGGGGCCCGTGGGACCTATGGGAATTGTGGGACCAGTGGGACCTGCAAGGCCTGACAGACGCGCGGGACCTGTGGGACATGTGGGACCTGCGGGGACTGCAAGACCTGCGCGACATGCGAGATCTGCGAAACTTGTGGGCCATGTGGGAACTGTGGGACCTGTGGGACCTGTCAGATCTTTGAATCCTGTGGGACCTGCGACCGCCGAGAACCAAACTAAGGCCCTGAATTGTGGGACCGCCGGGCACCCAAATAAGGACCTTATTTGGTACCCGGGGAACTCCTTATTAAATTTCGTGGATCGACAGATGTCTCGTGCTATGGGACCATCGAGGCCCCCAGAGGGGGATTTATTAAGGAACCCGAAGGTTCCTTACGTCCACCATGTTCTCTTGGAGCGGGGGGACCCAAAATTCAAACTCCCCAGAGTGGCCGCCGGAGGCCCTCAACTAGCCACCCCACTTGGAAACGCGGCGCAACTGTTCAGACGAGACCTGAACGCGAGTCTGATGCCGTCACCGCCGCACCTTCACTGCATCCGCTAATCCGCAAGCAAGCCCAAGAAACCGCCATGGAGGCGGGCAGACGCCCAGAGGGCACCAGCTGACACCCAAGGGGGGGGCTCACGACGGCCCACGATGGCCCCGAAGTGTTCCACGGAGCCAAAGAACAGCCCAAGAGTGCCCCCAAAGGACCCCAAAACAACCCAGCAGGACCCCGTGACAAGCCCAATGCGGCCTGAGAGTAACCCGCGAGAGACCCAAGAGAGGCAAGAACAACGGACGCAGAATGAGGCAGAAACATAAGGGGACTCACGACGGGGGGGCGGAAGAGCGGGGGGGACGACAACGAAAACGAAGGAGTGCGCCCCGAAACGACGTGGATCAGCGTGTCCCATGTTGCGGCCATTGCACGGGCATGGGCGACGATCTGTCGCGTAATACGGTTTTCTTGGCGGCGCTCTAGAACTCACCACGCCGAAACACGCGCAATCGCAGAGCGCGGGACGCGCTGCGAACAAATCGGCATAACGCGAGCGCTTGGTTCTTCACACGCAACCGTAGTGCGTATGACTTGTCAACGAAGTCGCGCTCTCCACGAGACGACCGGGCTCTCCATTTTGAAATGCGCGCAGCGAGAAAACTCAAAACAAACAATGCGATGAGAGGGAAGGGTAGGGCAAGGGGAAGAGGCCCGGCGACAGGCGAACCGCTGATTGATCACCGCCCAAGCGAACGTGGCAAGCGCAAGCGCTGAACAAAACAGAAGGAACGGCATTCCTATGTTTTGGCGCGCCGCCTAGAAGGGAAGGGGGGCGGGGGGGGCGATAGCCCAGAAGGAACAAACTTGGCGGCATGCTAGACGCTACGCGAGGCCTCGCCACGCGGAGGCGCTCTGCCCGCATGAACGAACGCATCGTCGCCCAAAACCGGCGCAATCAAGCCGCGCGAAGCATAGCTGCGCGGGGGCAATCCGCCCATGCAAGACATGCGCAGCTGATAAGCGAAACCGGCGTTACGCGCCGCCTTAACCATAGTGCTGCAATGCCGCAGAGACCACATTTTTTACTACCACGACCTCCCCTTATCAGCGCGCGCATGGGTTGTGGCAAACGGACCCCGCCGCGCGCGATCCGCACTCAGCCTTGCGAAAGCACATTGAAGGGGATCTCCACGGGAAAACCGCCGCAAGTGGCCAGGCTGCAACCTTTCGCGAAAGCGTTGCGTCAAGCCCGCAACACTCGCCAACGACAACCGCAACGCAGAAACGACCGACAAAAAACATCATTTCAATGACGTCCAAAACTTCCGGCTGCGGCGGTTTCTTGCGCGGTCACAGAAATTATGAGCACAGATAACTTAAGTCACCCAGCGGTCGCCATGCAGTCGTACTCCAAACTCCTTGTCGTGACACCACTCCAAGGAAGCAGCGACACGCATGTCTAGAGCAGCGCTGGAGACGGCAGGAGCAGCCAAGCCACCTCGCAACAAATATCTGCGTCTTCAGACCGGCTCGGACTGCAAGGACGGAGAGAGCTCGAACGTTGCGCGTGCGCGGCGGAGTTCCCGGACCCATCCTGCAATCAATATGTCCGATATTCCTTCCTGGGCCAATCCCTGAATGCACGTGCGATGTCTCGTGCAGTCGTGCGCTTCGCGCGTGTTCCCGTCCAAAATAAAAACGCGCACTTGCCATTCAATCGCATTCTCAATGACGTTCCGCGGAATGGTGATTGGCTCGTGCGCGCAGTGGCCCTGTCGGAAAGCAAATTGCGGCGGCTGCAACACCCCAACTGCCGGACACGCCAAAACGAGCAAGACTTTCGAGTTCAACTTATAGAGAACGGGGATCAGCGCAAGAAGCCCGAAGCGCTGGATCGCGAAGGGCTCGGCGCGCTTCGTCACCGAACTAACGCGTTGATGAGTCCAAGAATCATCGTCACCTTCGCTCGGATGATTGCATACTCGAACGTTGAAGGTCATTGCCATCGCCTCGAAGACATCGCCCTCCAAATCGAAGAAAATCTGCCACTACCCGGTCGTCGGCGCACGATTTCCCAGACTTGAGAGTGAATGCCACCCGCTGAACCAAAGAACCAGTGATCTCCGCCAATTTTCTATGGTCTTCCCACTCCCGAGACTTCCAAATCCAGTCCTGCATGGTGGAGTCGCCGCCGCCCTCGAACGAATTGCCGAAGTATTGTGTTAATACCTGCTGGATCTCGTCCTCCGCGTTGTACGAGATGTCCTCGTCAACATGATCATGAAAACCCTGTGGAAGAGCAGAATTCTTCCGTCTTGGTGCGATTGTCGATGCACGGGCTGTCTTGATGGCATGCTGAAAGCCGCGCAGCTTGTTGGGGGCCTCGGACTTTGCGTCTTAACCGACAGACTTCCCAAGACAATGTATGTCGTTTCGTTGGTCGCCGCTCTATGTTCGATCCCGTCTTGCCCTCCTCAACGCCCGAATATCTTGATGACCATGGGGTATTTTCGGGGGCATGCAACGCTTCGGCGCGCCATGTTTGGTCGCGGCGTTAGCCGTGGCTTGGGCGGCATCCTTCAGGTGTGCGACTGGCGCACTGTCGGGGCAGACTCGGTCCAACGACGATCGGGCTTGGCATCGTTCCCCATGCTGTTGTCGCTTCGGCTTCGCATGTGGTCGATGTCGCACGCCAGTTTCGATGCTTACGCTGCTGTCGACATTCGAACTCGCGAGGGCCCACTGAAAGCCATCCGCGCGCCACCCTGGTAGGCAGCACGGACGAGTCCACCATTCTGATCGGCGGGCGACATCGCCCCCTCTGGCCGCCAGCTTGTCCGCCAATTCGTTCGCGAAGATTCCTCTGCGGCCGGGAATCCAATGCACCGAAACGGCAAGATGCCTTTTGACTTCGGTCAGGAGATACACGAGCAGCACTGCCAACGCAACGTTGCCCTTTGGCTCGAACCCGTTGGCGGCCAAACCCTGGCGCACTTTAAGTCCGCGCGCGCAAGCATTTCCCACGACGTCATAAATCGCATCCAGCAGTCGCGTGGCCAAGAAGAAAAAAGCAACACCTCGACGCAAACGCTCTTATCCGCTGTGTTGTTTGTCCTCTTGGTGGCCCCAATGCAATATTTTGGGCCCGGTTGGATAACGACTGGCCCACAAGCATCCAACAGGAGCCGGCCATCGCCATTCGGAATACCGCCCGAATCGGAGACCGCAAAACCCCAACCTGCAAGCAAAGTGCTTCTGGGTATCTTCTTGCAAGATCCACCAGTGTATATGTGAATGCTGTCGCGATCGCCGGCCGGCAACTGTTCTGGTAGTCCCAATTTTGCCCAGATGCTGTCGTTGTAACCTGTTGTCGATTCTCTCCAATTCAAAGGCGTACAAGATTCCCGCATCGCTCGAGAGCTGACCATATATTGACCAGAGTGTCTAAGTGAAACACGGACTGGTCGATGATCAGACACTGTCGCCGTTGAGTCCAATGGGCCACACGCGGCAACGCGACGAGCTTGGATGTTGGAGCAGATATCGTCTATCTGTCTCGGTCCACACCGCTCTGTGCAATATGTAAAATGATGTCCACCAGACATGGACATGGTATTGTGGTTAACCAGATCATGCTCCATACAAACCAGTACAAACGCGTCTCCTTTCGTTCGTTTGGCACATTCGCAACGCGCGCCCAAGATGGGCGGGTCATCCTCGCACTCGTCCCAATCCGCAGGCCCAGCTCTGCCCTGAGCATCCACGCCGAACACCACTGCAGGATTGTACATTTCGCCCTGCTCAGCAACACCGCTACGTCATCCAACGACTCAAAATAAGAATTTAAAACGCACCCTGCGTCCAAATGCGCACAAACGCAAAGTAAAGGTCGTGTCTCCAACCGTAAAGTCAAAGAACATTCCCGACCCTCGCTGTGGAAAGGATCCTTGTCCACCTTATTCGCTAACGTACTTCGCACAGCGATGGCCCCACACCAACGCCCCAAGCCTGGAGGTTGCATGTAGATCGACTGGCCGTCGCACGACTCTGTCTCCCAACTCGCGCCAGTGGCGGTGAGTTCTTGCAGAAGGAGTCCCACTCCAATTCGTCCCCGAGATCTTCGAGGAAGTCGTCCAAGGACGTCTGGCTCACTCCAACAACATTCCATGATACAATGTTGAGATTCCCCGCCAACGTCTCTTCAGATTCCCCCATGCTCAGTCACCCGATGGTGTAGGTTGTGAGGTTGGCCTGGAAGTCGAACTGGAGCTGGACCGCCGTCGCTGACTGGCCCAAGCGTAGCTCGTACCCGGTACCATTCCTCTCAAACACCTTATTGATGGCTCCAGTCCCGCCCTGCCGGTAGAAGACATATCCCTTCTCCCTGTCCCCGCCCACCCATTTCTGGACCTCCCTCTGCGTGCATATAGAGTTGCTCACCAGGTGATTGCGCAAGCCAGTGATAGCCTTCCAAACCCTCTTGCTGAGCTGGTGCTCGTCCCTGGTGGTTTCGATGGTGTGCCAATAGTCACTGCTTTCGTGCTTGAACTTCTGCCCCTCGTGATCCTTCCACATCACAGCGCTGGTCTTGAAAACGATGATACCCAGGGTGCACGTGAACTTCCGAGTGCGAAGAACTCGAGTACATCCTCCGGCCTGTCCTGAATGATTGTTCGCGTTGTCAGGGAATCCCCTGATGACGATCGACATTCTCTGGTTCCTCGGCCCTTCTGTGCGCCTGTTCCTCCCATCCTCTGCATCGATTATTTGAATCCCGTTGGTCTTCAGCTTGTGGATTTCCTGCTCAAGGGCGTCGAGGCGTGTCCCCTGCTCATCGATATGTTTTTTAATGGTCTGAAGGTTGGTGTCCATGGTATTCATAGGGTCACTCATGGCTTTCATCTTCGTGTCGACGGGCTCAATCTTCCCGCTGGTGTTCCTGTTGATGGCATTGATGGTCGATTAGGCCTCCTCGCTAAGCGTGCCTTTTCCGCGTCCATCCTTCCCACGACTCCGCGATCGCCCACCGCTGCAATCGCCGTCCTTCATCTTGCCACAATCTTCGCAGAACATGGCGGCCGCAATCGGTCGGGCCTGGAATCGCTCGAATCGCTCGAAAAAGAACCGTGGGGCCACTCCTTGCGCCACTTGGGCCTCCTTGAGGCTCCTCCTCCTCCTCCTCGCGCTCCTCCTCCTCGCCCTCCCCTCCTCGGGTCTGCCCTCGCATCCTTGTGCCGAATTCTGTGCGCAATGCGGAAAAGCATGGTCACGAGTCATACCACGCCTATTACGAGGCGCCCAGCGCGATCCCAGTTTTGAGAAAGTACCCCCCCCCCCACCTGGGCAAACGCTGCAGCTTGCACTTCTGGCCATGGGCACGCACCCTCCCGTCCAAAAGTCCCCCTCGTACGCCTCGAGATCAGAAGGGGGGAAAGGAGGGGGGACCGACACTGCCCCCCTCTCGGTGCGCAACAGAATCGGGACGGAGAGCTCTTTGAAAACGTTCGGGCTCGGGGGGGGGGGGCACTGCTGGACCCTGGGGGCCAAACAACAAAAACGCTCGGGAGGAAAGGTCGGCCCAGGGGAAACGGTCCAGGCCGCTGGAGGACCCCTGTGCTCGTGGGCTCCAGCCCCATGAAGGTGTCACTTGCAGGGCCTGGGGCGCCGCTTCTCGACTAGGGGATCGGCTACAGAATTTAATGTACCCAAATCTTGATTTGCCCGCCGAGTCTTCAGCACAAACGCAGAATGTTTCGTACGTCTGCGGGGCATGCGTTTTTCTACGCAGACCCTGCGGGGTATCATTTTTGGGGCAAATCAATTATGTAGTCGATCCCCCACACGAGCTCTGGACGCCCAGGGCCGCGCGGGAGGGCGAGGGAGAGGTGGAGGAGGGGGGCGGAGGACGAGCTTGGCGCTCTCGCGCCATCTCTGACATCCTCCCACTCCCACCCACCCCCTCCCGGTCTGCTGACTCGTTTCTCTATCCGCCGACGGGTGTCCTAGAGGACCTGGGCCTCCAATCGGAAGAGGCTTCACGTCGTTCCTTTCTGACTGTGCTCATGTCTAAGTGTGCTCGTTTCGAATTGTCCCTGGCCCCCGAGTGGCCAGGAAGAGGCCCAGGACTGAAGAATTCGGCATGAAAGGAACTTGGCCCCCCACAAATATCAAAGAAGTCTGGAATAATAAGAAATGCACAAACAATGTGCTGCTGTGTAGGATGGAGGAGGAAAAATGGCAGATGAGTCTGGAGGACAAGCGGGGGGCAAAGAGGAAGCGGGAGGGGGACGAGGAGGAATAGCAGCAGCAGCAGCAGCAGCAGCAGCAGCAGCATGAGTCGGAGAAGCGGGAGGAGCAGGAGGACCAGGGGAAGGCCGAGGAGGGAAAAGGAGCCGGGAGACAACGGCGAGAAAAGACTCAGATCCAGAAAAGTGGCCCGCGCTGGGGCGAGAGCGCCACTGTAAACGATGGGAACAAAGCGCCGATTCAAACATGAGGCGCACCTGACAGCGGAAGCATCATTTTGAAGCGCCGAAAACGCCCCGATTGGAAAAGTAGATGGAATAACAATTTTTGAACCCCGCGTAGTGGAGAGGCGGGATAGTTTCGGCACGTGGCCGGGGAAGAGGAGAGATTAGTATCCAAATAGAATGAGTTGCAGAGGAACGAAGAGGGGGAGAGGGGGGAGGAGGAGGACGAGGAGGGGAAGAGGGCGAAGACGACGACGACGCCGCCGCCACCGACGCCGAGGAGAAGGAGGAAGGAGGATGAGGAGTTGGAGGAGGAGGAGGGATGACGAGGGTGAGGAGGGGGGGAGGAGGGGGGAGGGAACAGGAGGGAGGAGGGCGGAGGGAGGCGGCAGGAGCAGGAGGAGGAGGAGGAAAAGAAGGAAGACGAGCGGCATCAGGATGATGATGAGGGCGAGCAGGGATCGTTCGAGGATCCGCGGCCGCAGTTTCGAGACGCTCCTGACCCTGTCCGGGCCACCGCGGGCCTCGGGGCACCACTGGGGACCCCCAGAGACCCCCAGGGATCACGGGAGCGAGCCAGGGACGATACAGTCATCGGCCTGACCTAAGGAACGATAAATAAGGAACGAAGCCCCTTTAGTATCCCAAGGAATAACGCATAAGGAACGATAAACAACAAATAACGCATAAGGAACTGTAAATAACGCATGCAAGCCTAAGGAACGACCGAGCCTCTTGTGAAAAGTAAGTGTTCCTTATTCAAGCCGCTCACTGTACGGTGAGGGCATTGGATGA